TATAATCCAATTACTCAATGAACTGCTGCAGCCATATATCCTACACAATATACTGCTTATAGAAACCTCAATCTCTTTGTTTTAGCCTCAAACGAAAAGCAGCACAATTAACTATCACTTGGGATTTTCCTAACCTGATGTGGTTAGTGGATGCTAAGGCTGTTTTTTTTAAGATGGGTATAGCAGTTGGTACACAATCGGCTCGATGTCGTACATTCTTGTTTTGTTTGTGTCACATACAGAGGTGGCACAGAGACACTGAGGCACTGCAGACGAGCACACTGCTCTCCGTCTGCAGACATATGTGGGACCATAAGTTTGGCCTGAGTCATTCCTGTTAAGGACCTTTTACATGTCTGTATGTCACCGTTTTGTGCCCACTCCACGCGTACTAGATGCACCTGCTCCATGTCATTCAGAAGTATGTATCTCTCATATAGGGCTGCCACGATTAGTCGACTAGTCACGATTACGTCGACTATCAAAATCGTCGACGACTGATTTAATAGTCGACGCGTCGTTTGAAGCTTTGTAAGATCACAAAAGACGCAGGAATGAGTAGTAGGATTTAAGAGTGTAATAACGGACTGAAACAGAAGAGGGCAGCACTGCATGGATGCCAGCTGCCGTTAAACCCTGAAGAAGAAGAAGAAGCTGTGTCCCAGAATTCATAGCGCAGCCCAGCTCAATTTCCAACAACGGCGGCAGCTAGTTAGTTAGTTTTAAAATTACTCTTATTATTCTTTTCTGGGTCACAAAATAAACGTAGCTGTGTAAACCTCAAATATTTGCTCAGTTTATCAAGACGCCACATATTTTCAAAAGCGCGCCGACGTTTTCGGAGACGTCTGTTACCCACTAGCTCGATAGCTAGCTAGGCTCACTAGAGCCCGTGAGAACACCGGACTCCCGGCAAATCGTTTTCAAACCCACCGCCGTCTTTCGCTACTCAGGTTAAACATACATAAGTCACTTAGATAACTTAAACATGTTATTGTTTGGCTTTTTTTTGTATTTTATTTGTTCCTGAGTAAATCGGTTTGGCTGAGATTAAAGTTATAGTTTTTACACAGCTGAATAAACGTCAAGCAGACAGCTGATTATCAGAAGTGTGAGATGCTCGAGAATTTACTCCGGTGTCCTGTTATATTTTAGATAGCAAGGAGTTTATTAAACTTGACCGAAACAATCTGTAAAATTCATTAAAATTTAATAAACTATCATCTTGTCTTTGTTTTTAGTTAGCACATACCTTAAACACTTAAAGCTGTAAGCTAATGATAGTTATATATGAGCAGATGCTGCTGGTGCAATATGCTGTACGTTTTACGTCCAATGGATGATGATCTGATTAGTCGACTAATCGCAAAAATAATCGGTGACTAGTCGACTATCAAAATAATCGTTTGTGGCAGCCCTACTCTCATACATAAAAAAGAAAGCTTTGGAACTATTCCCATTAGTGAAGAGTGTTCTTTCTACAACACTGTTTCCCTCCCAAGGTCGCGTTATGACACAAGTTTATGTGCCTAAAGTCCACATGACATCATGTAGTTGGTTGTAGCTAATAGACTTACTAACACTAAAAAGTTTAGGGGACCACTTTTCTACTACCCACAATGAGTTTTATGTTAATTCAATTGTATTTATACATCGCCAAATCACAACCACAGTTGCCTCATTGAGCTATATATTGTAAGGCAGACCCTACAATAGTACAATAGCAAAACCCCCAGCAATCATATGACCTATGAACTCTGGTGACAGTGGGGGAAAGGCTCGGGGAGGGACTTTTAAAAGCAGCTACCCAAACAAAGTAGTGCCGCTTACTGCTAAAGTCACAGATAGGATATATTTTCCACTTTCACTTAGTTTGAACATAAAACTCATTGTTCCAGCCAGGGGCAGCACTAGAGTGAACCCCTTGACTAACTGAATTTTAGTGTCCTTACTTTTCTCTCAGTTTTTGATTCTGTCACTGGTTAGCTGACACGTGATAAAACTGATTAGGTTCATCAAACATCTGCAAAAGCATTTCTATTCATCATCACCATCAGCAGCCTGACTTCACAGGCACTTCCTGACGTAACCACTGTACTCAGGACAAGGCGAACACACTGAAGACCACCACCACAATGAGCCCGAGGATACTCCGCGTAGAGTCCCCATCCCCGCTCTCTCACGCTCTCAAAACGACAAGCACACCTCTGTAGACTCCACCCGGTGCACAAGCTCACAAACGGCCACTGGTCAGGCTCCAAGGGAGACTGCTGGTAATTTATGCTGCATTGTCTTCAGCGTGCAACTGAGACAGAAAACGACGTGCGCCCTTCTGCAGGCGGGCGTTCCGTTCTGCACGTACACAGGAGAAATCCATCGCGGGATTAACTGACAACTTCTTTCTTTTACCAGGTGCAATCGTACCAAATGTGCTGCAGCTGCTCCTAAAATCCAGCCGAACGGAAATTTGCTGGCCTTAGGGCTGTTACCGAGAGACAGGCGACCAAATTACGCTCACGTGCACGAGCATGTAGCCAAACATACAAGGGTAAAGAACTGATGCTAGGCACCCATATCCGCCAGACGCGCTAAGTGTATTAATGCAATGGAAGCCACCGTAAATAAAACAAGTCATTTTATTATTGCTGGTATAGGTCATTTTACCTGAACGACTCTTAACACCAACATTGCCAAAGGTAATTACCTCATGCAGACACAGCTTTAAGCTAACGTTTGCTTCAGATGCTCAACATTTAAGCTGAAGTTTACGAGCCTGTGTGTATTCACCAACTTGTGACTACTAGACACGCTTCTATTCTGGACATAGACAAAACAACAACAACTAGCGAGTGCTTCCAAGAACTACTCAGTTTTGAAAGCAGGGCTTTCTCTGGAATATCAGTATGTGTGTAGCGTTGTTATCAATGCTAGCTGATTAGCTTGTTTGCTTAAGCGTAAAGAAAAGCAGCTCACCCCACAAAACTCTTGACAATACTTCGAAGATGATTCTTCTGGAGAGTCGATACTTTCTCTACTCAAGATTTCTTGCAATTCTTGCAAACGTTTTTTAAGTTCCTCGGTCGTTTCACTGATACCAATGGCAGGACTACGATCCTGTTCGGCCTCCTCGTCCGCCATCTTCACACCCAGCTTCTGCGCGTAACCACTGCTACGTAATCACGTAAGTACACATTTTACGAGTTCACGTCATCCCCCCCGTCAGCACGTACAGAAAATTTCAGCTTTGTTGTTGTGATGGTAGCTTGTCATGTGAGTTCCTGCTACTTAGCGAAAATTAGTTTGCGAGAGTAGGTTCAAATAAAACACCCTCAAAATCTCTGATTTTGTCAAGCCAGACTCACTGTGGATTTCGTTTCTTCTTTTTCTTTTGGCTGCTTCATTAAGAGGTTAAACCAGTACATCATATGCCTCCATCTCATCCTATCCCTAATATCATCTTCTGTCGCTCTGATCCTCCTGCATTAAATCCATGAATCTTCTCGGAAGTTCCTCGTTTCTTCCTTCCATCTTCAACATCCTTTGTCCAATACTTATACATGAGTTGGCTGCAGTTCAGGAAGTAGAGCAGGTCAGCTACTAATCAAATGGTCAGTGGTTCAATTCCTGGCTGCTCCAGTCTGCATATCCTTGGGCATGATACCTAACCACAGGTTGCTCTCCAAACACTTGTGTAGAAAAAGCATTAAAAACGTGCTTAGGTAGAGTAGATGAACCAGTTCATTTACCATATCCCTCCTCTGTGTAGAAGATTTCAGATGGAAGACTGCATTGTGATGACAGACAGAGACTGGTTGGAAAACTGGATTTATTTTCTAAAAGACAGAATGCAGCAGAAAAATCAGTGACACACAGCAACAACAGGCCTCTCCTCATCCCAGTGTGGAGTCCATGCAGCTCTGGCTGAGAACCCCCACACATGCAAAAGGTTTACTAGCGGTGTCTCACTGATCAGTGCCCCACTACAACAGTGACATGTTGGGAAAACTAATTTCAGCAACCAACTTGCTGTGGACAGTGGTGCTGAGGTTCCTGCAGTTTTTAGTTCATAGCAGACTTGAGCCTTGGAGGTTTCTGCCTTATTCCTGAACATCCTAACTAATTTCCTCTCATCTAACAGTTGGGGTATTCTTCCATACCTTGGCAACACGGTAACACATCAGAATAACTTGTACTTATGTGCAGTTGTTTGAACAGAAGATCTTGGAATCTTCAGTTGTTTCGGAATGGCTCCAGCAACCAAGCTTCCGAACTTGTGCCAATCTACTCTTCACATTGTTGATTTTTGCAGTAGAGTGGACAATAAAGCAGGGGCAAAGAGTAATGTAATACACATAGCAAGGGCCTCAGGTCAGACCCAAACCCAGGCTGCTGGGTCACTTGGTCAGCCCATGAGCCAAATTAGCAACTGACAAATCAAATTCCTAGATCTTCGTTGAGTTCCTTGGACTTTGCTGTTAATCTGAGTATTGGTTAGTCCAACTAATGTGGTCAGTTAAATCCTTTTAATGCTAACAAGAGCATCAGCTAATTTTAGACAATCATGATCACTAACTAGAAGTTATTAGGCGTTGAGCTTGTCATGTATGTATACATATATTTATGTATGTATCCATGCTATATGTATGATTTCGACCCTGTGTGGATTACAGAAGATCCAAAATAATTCCATTCATTCCAACCTGAAAAAAGAACAGTTTAAAGATATAATTTAAAGCCCCAAATTTCCATGACATTTATGCCCGTCATGGGTGAATGTAAACATCTGCCCACAACTGTATGTGTAGCTTGGTGTACACAGGCAAGTCATCTTGACATATTGCTCTTTATTTGCAAAACAGGATATCAGTCCTTTTCGACTTTCCCTTAAGATTTCTTTTTGAAAGATGGATTTGGTTTTGATTCTCCTATTTTATTTAGATATAGAAAACATCATTAAATCACCCAAACACAACATTGAATCCATTTATTTAAAAAAAACAACAACAAATTAGTACATTTAATGATCATGTAAATTACATTATTTTGATATTGAACCCCAAAACAACTCCCTGATTGTGAGGGATTTAAAAGTATAGTTGTTTTAACAAAACACATATAATACACGTCTCTTTAAAACTACTTGAGGTTTATCACTCAGGGTTCAGTATAGAGTAGAAAAATGCTTTAATCCTTAATTACATGTATTACTGCAGAGTCTTTAAAAAAAAGTCTAACTGGAAAAGAGAAAAAAAAAAAAAACCCAGTCCCTGCTAATATACAACTTCTTTCATTATTCTCTTCCCGACTCATATTTTACTTTAGAAACCCTGGCCATTCACAGCTGGACTTTAGGGTGTCATCATCTCCTGTCATTGGAAGGCTTCCTAGCCTGCAAGAGAACGAGAAATAATGGGGGGGAAATTTAGTGCATGAGTAGATCATGTTGGGTTTGCTTGCTGGGGAGTTTACATAACTGGAGTAGGGCAGGAGGGTTAATCCAATGTGGATTAAGCTAGGTGTCTTTCCTAGAGGCAGGTTGGTACCATATATCTGAGCACAGGAGCTGTAGGTATGAATTAGACTTAAACTGTTTGAAAAAGATTATACTGCATGTGTCCAGAGTGACTAAATCCTCCATGTTAATCTATTCAGAAGTAAAACTCTACAAGCACAGTTCTGGATAAAGAAGGCTAAGACAAAGCAAATGCTGTAATGTATTTAAGTACATTTACTCAGTTTACGTTATCAAAAATTACAATTTAAATGAAGTTGTTTGATGTAATCCCTTTTTCTAGTTCTCAACTACATTTTGGGGTAGTACTCCTAGTTAGTTGCATGTGTGAATTATTACTATGGAAATCACTTGTTAACCAATAAATGATATATTCTTGATGTATTCTGTTATATTCTTATAGATATATATATCTATATAAAAAATGCTTAATGAGCACTACAGGAATGCTAAAAGTTAGATTATGTGCACGATGACAATATTTTAAATATCATTTGGCTGGTGCTCCTTAACAAAACTACTATCTTGTCAGAGATCAAATTCTGATGATTTTTCAAAGATGAATCAGTCATTTTCCCTGAAATTAATTAGACTAGTGGGGCATTAATTAGACTGTATCAGGATAAAAATGTAACTTTTCAGTAGGGATGGGTACCGGTGTCCGGTGCACCGGTTCTGACATAAACGGTAGTAACCAGACCGAAAAGCAGCGCACATTTCGGTGCTTTATTTCGGTGCTTTTTTTCCCTGAGCTGTGATACACTTTAGATTCTAGCCAATCATTTTACGTTTCCGAGGATAGTAGGCGGGGCCAGGTACGTACGTTCTGTTAGAGCAGAGCTACAGATTAAAAATGCCCAGGGCGAAGCGGTCAAAAGTCTGGCTGTACTTCATAGCAAAATATGCAAACTCAGCAGCAACAAGTGCTTTAAGCTGATACTGTGATACTGTCAAAGGAGGTAACACCTCAAATCCGATGAAACACCTGGCGACGCATAGCGGTTTTTTTAAAAGCCCAGAAATGCACCGTATTTGATAGCTTGCTGCGAGACCTCACACCGAGCACATCTACTGCGGGTGGGTTGCCTGTTATGCAACATCCCCCAAAAACACGAAGAGGAGAGTCCTGGCCCCTAGCCCTGCCAGTGTAGCAGAAATGATGACGGATGATGGTGGCAGCGGCAGCCGTTCTTCTCTGCGTGAGTAGCTAATTTACGTTGAGTAGGCTAACCACGTTATTACATTAATGCATGTAAGGTGAACTAGCAAACATCATCATAGCTACATGCGGCTGTCCTCTTGTTTGATGGCAGATACTCCCTTCACCCTGGCTAAAAAGGCTAAAATGACCAAAGAAAAAGTGGAAAACAGTTAAACATGAGAGGTTTTTGGACAAAGTTTGTGTTTTTTCCATTGTTTAAGCACTGCTTCCAGCCAAGAGTGATACCATATATGCCCCATAGCTGCAGAAAAGGCTAACATTGTTATATTTTTACAAAAAACAGCTGAACATGAGAGGTTTTTGGACCAATTTTGTGTTCTCCATTCTTTAAGCACCGTTTCAAAAGTACCAATTTGGCACCGGTATCGGATAAAACCTAAACGATACCCATCCCTACTTTTCAGTTCCTTGAAGTTGTATTAATTTAGGGGGGGTCATAGACTTAGAAGACTTGATTCTTTTTGATATATCCTGCAGTTAATTTGTCATGCGAGGGGGACTACAAAATGGGGACTGAAACTATTGTTCCAGCTTTTAAGTGATAATACACTCCACATCTCTCATAAACAATAAAAAATTTGTTAAGGCCTCAGTCACATGGGCCTAGAGACTGGTTGGATATGCCCTAGCATCCACTGGTTGTGAGGGCGAAAATGTTTCTTCCCCTACTGGTTGGCAAGTGGTTGCTGGCTGTTGCTGGTGAGATAGCTTACAAAATTGCTAGCAGATTTGGGCAATTCCCCACTGTTTATATTGAAGATAAAATTTGTCTGCAAACACTCATCATTTACTCTTGAAATGAAGGACTTTGTTTCTTTACGACTGCAACCAACACCTCTCTGCTCTTGCTTTTGACGAAGGCGGTTGCACTTTTCTCCTCTCCTCCTCTCCCTTAGCTTCCCTGCTTAGCCTCCTATGTCCTTGTCTAGTCTCGTGTTTTTTGTATTACTTTTCCCTGGAACATTCTCTCACAGTCTGTTCTCTAAAACCTAAAAGAGGAATTATGGATTGGATCAACTGGTCCCTAAATGCAATTGACACCCCTTTCTCAACAAGAAGTTTGGGCTTGGGTGAGCCTGAGTGCTGAAGATATCTACCTATTCGGAACCATGGTAACAGGGTTCTTGCTGATCGGAGCTGGCTTGACCCTGACTTATCGAAGAATTAAGGAAGCACAACCGGCTGTTCAAACCCCCACAAGGCTGCCCGCTGGGATTGAAACGATGGGAAGAGGCGTGAGTTTCTCAAAATGGGCTCATTGAGCGCAGCACGGACAAGATCTTGGAAAGGCTTACGGCTGCCGTGAATACTCAGAATAAGATCTCTGAGTGCAAACTGGATTACATCTTGGAAGGGCTCGCTCGGAATAACATCTCTGAGCGCAAATTGGATTACATCTTGGGGAAGCTCACTGCGGTCGTGAGTTCTCAGAATCGGCTCTTTGAGCACAAGAATGACAACATCACAGAGCGCAAGTTTGATAACATCATGGAGAAGCTCACGGCTCTCCAACGGGAGATTGAGAGACCAGTGTTGGACTGTTAGAACAGCTTTGAAATTCATCTGAGCTGTTAGCACTAAAGTAAAAAGTTAAAAGCACCATCACTTCATGCGGATACCTTTTCAGTGCCAGCTGCAGTCGCAAGGCTGGAGCCGAACAAAAACACCCTGATAACAACTGTGTTTAGTCTGTTCCAATGTCTCAGCTGAACTCTGGACACGCACGCACACATATACATATACACTGATATGCACACACTCATCCCCCCTCCCTTTCCAAACGCCTTCGATGCTTGTTCCCTTCTGGGAATTCACTGCAGGGCAACCTGCACTTGGGGAATAAAGCCTTGATTGATTGATTGATTGAAAAGGCGTAATTTTTACTTTGAAGGTTCTCTACTTCTGCTTTGTGTCGCACTTTTCAAAGTTTTATTAGGTCTTTGCAAGTAGTTTGTGTGTTTGCAGACAAGTTTATGTCTTCCATGCAAGCTATAGGCAACCCCAGCAACCTGCTAGAAATCAAAACACTCGCATGTAGGTTTTCAGTGCAGTACTGCATACCTCTTTGCAACCAGTTTTAATCGCCAGTGACTGCCAGTAACCTGGCAGCAACCATTCACCAACCAGCTGTGGAATATACACTTTTCCTTAGTGGCCACATGGTTGCTCACTGTTCTCTAGGCAAATGTGTGACTGGTGCCTAAATAAGAGTGCATAGCAAAGTGTTCATAGCAGTATTATTTTCAACTAAGAAACTCATAGAGTAACCAGTTGCACCACCAACTGTGTAGACAATTGGTGCATAATTGCTAAGAATATGGGGAATTTGCCTGCTTTCACTATTGCTTCTCTTTCAACATGCAGTGGCTTTGCAGTTCCCCTTTCATGGCAACCGAGTATGGTACTGCTGGAGTATGCTGGTTTCCAGAAATTGTGAGACATCAAGACTCAAGAGTATGACACAAAGACAGAAAAATCAATTGCATATCAGATCTGGAAATTCAGATTGCCAGATATGCGGATATCATTCAGAGAAAAGTAAGACAGCTGTTTGAGTCAAAAACCATCTCGGTAGATTCAAAGCAAACAGTCACCAAATGTCAAACTAATCTGTTTGTTTTCAATATATGCTATTTAAAAAGTCAAGGAAAGACTTTTAACAACAAATGTTAACTTTATTTTTCATTTGATTTTGAACCCAGGTCTCAAAGGGGTGATGATTTTGGTTTCAATTAACCGCTGTAACATTATTTTCTTCTCAGCAAATTACAGTGTATGACAGTCAAGATTTTCAGTTTGAATGTTACATCCATTAGGCTATGATGTTTAATTTAAGTGTTGAGTAGTTTACATTTTTTAATATGATCACAAAATTGACTCAGAAGTGACATAAAGATTTGGTGAGCTACTTTTAAACAATTTGAAATGCACAATTTTAAAAATATGTAATCACATATTTCATCTTTTGTAATATTTACCTGTATTTTGTGGCAATAGGTTACTCCCTTTCTCCTGCATAGAGGCCAAACTGGCATCCTTTAGAAACTCTGAATGAAGAGTCCCACTAGGCCTATGGTCTGATTGGGTGCGACGAGTAGAGGTGTCTGTTGCTCTGGTCAGTAGTCTTCCTCGGGAGACCTCTCCCCCTTGTCTGGGAAGCGCAGACCTTTCAGGGGGCAAACAGGTCTTCAAGTTTTGAAACTCATTTTGACAGAAAACAGAGCGTGCGTCGCGAAAGGATACAGATGGAATGATTTCTTCTGTCTTGTTATCTATACAGCGTGTCACTGTTCTGGGAGAACTGGGACGAGATGAGTGCCTAGATGTAGACTGAGGTCTAATTACAGGGGGACTTGGAAATCTTTTGCATGTACTAGGACAAGATGGTGGAAGGCGGACTCTAGATACAGGTGGTGCTATCACAGTCAGACTGCAAGAGGATAATTCACCCTCATAAAATTCATTGCTGTTATATTTCCGATCTATTGTGAGTTGAAGAGGAGAAGTTGCCCTGATGCCTGGTTCAACAAGATTTCTCTTATCAGAAGATTCTGCTGCATCACGCAGGTGAATAATCTTACATGCCTTTTGGTAGAGATTATTAGCCTTCTTAATTTCCAGGTTCAGATCTGTTTCTGATTGCAGCTGATCTGCATCCTGAGTGCCCATAACACCATCCTGTGTAACAGGATGGGCAGGAGAGATAGCAATCGACCTTGGCCTCATACATGCTCGGTTTGGTAACACTTCTACATTGTGGATAGATGCCTTCAGGCGATGGAAGATTCCAATCTTGGGGTTTATCACTTGAGAACTAAAAGGTTTCTGCAAACCCACTTCAGTTCCTGCTAGGACTTGAGTACTCTGAAAGGAATTGTCCATCAGAACTTCTGGGGGGGGCGGTGGTAGGTTGTCCATATCCAGCTCGTCCTTGCTATCAGGCCAGCTGTTGTTGTTGTTGCCACTGTTGACTGAACTTTCCTTGTCATTTACTGCGTCAGATAACTGAAGTAAGCCACTTTTCCTGGGCATCCTGTTATGAGGTGGAATATTAGTGAGACTCTGCTCAGGTCTCCCATCAGCTACTTTGCTAAAGGTATGAATTAACCTTCTGACAGAGTGGCGTTTTGGTGGTTGGTTTGCTAAGATTGTTACAGAACAATTTGTCTTATTTGGTCTCACAACGCCTTTGTGTAAACCTGACAATCCATTTAATGAATGCCGTCTTACTTCAGCTCTATCCAGCTTGCAATGAGGTCTTGGTAATTCCTTGTTTCCTTGTATTTCAGCCATCATTTTTATTCTATCATCCAAGACCCACTGGCTGTTTTGTAATTCTGTCATTCCACACGTAGTTAATGAAAGGTGTTCAGGCTTTGCAATAACAGGATCAATCAGCGATTGTTTGACTGTTGCCTGCTGATCTCGATTGTAATTTGTGAACATATAATGAATGGCCTGACTGGGATCAGGTGGGGAAGAGTTTGACCTCTTCCTTCCTCGTGTATCACTTTCCTCCTCTTCATTCTCTTTATCATCGTCATCATAATCATCCTCATCCTCATCCTCATCTTCATTATGGTCTCCAAGGTTGGTCGAATTACTGGGGAGACTATCAAATGCACTCCGAATGTTGACTCCAGACCCCCAACTTTCAGATCCAGCACTTCCACGATGCCGGCGATGCCTTTCAGAACCCGTCAGACTCTCATTTTCTCCTCCGATACCACTATCCTCACTATGCAGTGTTGAATCTTCTGAGTTGAACTTCCTCATGGCTGCCCTTTCTACTTTTGCGATCACTTGAAAAAGCCTCTTCTCTGCCGTCTGCTTCGTCTGCAGCTTCTTATTTAGCACTTTATAGACAAAAGAAAAATATTCCACTGCCTCCTCAAGTGTAGTGTCACCTAGTGCCTGGACTGACCCTCCCACTAACTTCATCTTTTCAGTTGACTGTTGGAGTAGTTGCTGTAAAAGATCTGGAGGTGGATCGGTTTGACATGTTGTATTCATTCTAGGGTTAGCTGAGCAAATCATCCCAGAAGGTAAGGTCATGTATTCACCATGCTCCTTCAACATCAGCTCCCCCTCATCAGCCATATCCTCTAGTGCTTGGTTGATCTCCTCAAAGCGCAATACTAAAGCAGACATCATGGGCTGGAGGGACAGCTGTGTCTGGGCAGCCTGATCTAGTAGACCCAAAAGAGTTTCATATTTGGAAATGTTTGGGTTCAGAAAGTTATAGGCTGCCTGATGAGCTCTCAGCATGTGAGGTGGGAAGTCCACCTTTGTCTGTACATGACAGAACTTCCTGTGATTCTCAAAAGACCTTTTCTTGCCTTTACTTCTTTTTTGCTTTGCTGTCTTTTTAATTCCTTTGGTTTGTTCCACATCGGTGATTATTTCTTGGGGCATCGTGTTTACTTCTGTTTCATCGGTGTCCTGCAGATTTGGTACAGTCTTTGCATCAGAGACCAATGGAAATAATTCAGTCTCTTCGCTATGAAATCCTTCATTCGGAAGTGGAAGTTCATTTTCGGTCACTTCGGTTTTCAAACATGTATTCTCAACTTCTACAGGTCTACAATTATTAACATCCTGTGGTACTTCACCCAGAGAAGCTTTTGGAGATCCTTCTGGCTTTGAAAATAACTTTCCTTTAGATGGAGAACAGCCCATTGTTGCATTCAAAGTGATTTAAGGATTCAAGGAAAAACAAGTCAGGCCAGGAAATAAAATTGTAAATCCAGGAGTCTGGCGGTCTTGAAGGCAAAGTTATCTGGAGTCCTTCAGCTTCGACTTTTGTTGTCTGTCCAGTATGTGCTAGATAACTTCTAGTTCCTCAGTCATTTCAGGCATTCTCTCCAAATTTATGCTCAAACAGTGCAGCAAAGATACCTATAACCTGTTGATGAGGTGGCTACTAACGTGGTATGCATAAGACCGTTTGGGAATGCGGATTGGTTCTGCCCTCTTTCTCCCTTAGCCAGCTTGCACAGATGGCTGTGTTAAGTGCATCAATAAAAACACACAGGCCTGTTCACACGTACACACTCGGGCATTTCCATTTAAGACTTTAAGCTCATCAGATTAACCAGAGACAAACTTGTCAGGTGGTGTTTTTAGCCGCACCCACTGGCAAGGTTTGCATGCAAAAGCTCTGTTTACCTGAGACCTTCAATGTCAGGCCACAGGACATTTTAGCAATAGTTGTAGGAAAAAAATTAGATTTAAATCGTTTGCAATACAATGACTTAAAAAAATCTATGAAACCACATTCTCTGAGTTCATCGTATCTTGAAAAGGTTATATTTATGTATCTTCAAGTATCCTTGTATAGGTTTTTAGGTTGTTTACTGATATTTTGCAGTGTAAGTTCACTTAATACTCAAATGTTTGGTACACAAAAAAGTTTAGCTTTACCCTTCTAAAGCAATCACAATGAATAAATAGTAACAGTCAAACTGTTCATCTTTTTTTAATTATTCCAAGCTGGCAACACATGTGCCAAGTGTAAATACATTTAGGACATAAAGAACATGTCAATCCCTTTGTGAAACAACTCTGTGGGATTACGACATTAAAAGACTAGGTTTTGGAAAGCACATTTAGAAGAGTGAGGAGTGGCATTATGTATATCTTCATGTAAACTAGATCCTTGTCCCATCTTGAGTTGGATGGCAAGCCTTTTTGTGTGAGGCTCAGGACCGTTATAGTACATTACAATCACCCATCTTCCCTTCTATTATAAGCATAAGGTTGTGCTAGCTAAGTAGACTAGGCTATTTGTAAGAGTTGGATTGCAAGTGTAATCTTCTTGCTCCCTCCATCTAGAAGCTTCAGGAGGTCACTAGTCCCATCTTGAACATCACCTGTACTTTCATTTTGGAACAATTTTTTAACAGGAGATTTTGATTGGATGTTTAAACAACCGTCTTTCAAAATCTTTGTGTTTTCTTTTAAAAGGTTTTCAGTCTCTGAGTAATGCTGCATAGAAAATAATTAAAAACATAAAAGGGGAAGGGGGCTATTCATGTAGCTTCAAATCACAAATGAAAACCAAGTTAACAAAGCAAAGATTTCACAGTGTATATTACTAGATCTGATTGAATTAGTTTGAATCTTTTTGGGGGTTTACAATCAATCCATTTATGACTTTTATGTAATGTGTGGGCCTTTTTTGCATAGTTGGTTGATATTCTTTCTCTATTAAATTAAATTATGATAAATATTAAGAAATTGTTCATTTTTTTGTATGTGAGCAAATTTATAAATTCATCAGGGGACCAAAGAATTATTTCTCCCACTGTATATTGTATGTAAACTTTATAACTAAAGCAAAACCATTACAGTAGTGAGAGCAGACAATAGTTGCCTCTTGATCAAGCATCAAGGATCATTATTATTGTGATTATTATTCCTCTCTAATCTCTCATGCATACTTTTTAAATATATAGTTCATTAAGAACTGGATTCCCAGACAGGGGTAAGACCAGAAGCACAGAATATCATAAAACCTGAGCCCAGCTCTAATCCCTGACTCACATCCAGGTGTACCACACTAACACGAACCAGGCAAGCTGCTGGTCATTAGAGCAGATGGAGCTTAAGCTGTTGGAGGTAAGTTGTTTGCCATCTCTTTCTTTAGTTTATTAAAGACGTCAGAGCCAGTACATAAAACTCCATCTCAATTCCCTCCATTTAAGCTCAGGTCCTCTACCACGGACAGCAAAACACCGAACCAGCTTGTCAGGAGTGCTCGCTCTGTGGTGGGTTTTTTCTCGGAGGATGTTGGCCAAATACACATACGTCTTAGGGAATCCCTCTCACACTCTGCATGACACATTAAGAGTATTCGGCAGTTCTGTTGGCTAGATTCACAGTAAATATCCCGATTAGCTTCAGTGCATCTATAATAAATATGTACTAGTTCCAGTGCTTCACTTAAACTGTATGGTACTCATGCAGACCCAGGGTCAGTGTAAAATACAATCCTACCTGTGTGAACAAAGTCTGGCTCCTTTAATCCTGCTCGTTTAATGCAGGTTGATGCAGGTTTATTGATCCTCTTTCCTGCTGTCACACCTGTCACGTCTGAGACTCAGCTATAAACGTAAAGTAACCTTTACATCATGCAAAGACTCTGTAATACTGTAAATGATCAGTAACTTAGGTTAACAATAAACATTAAACCGTACCTCTCTGTCTGTGTGTGCTGCACATTTATAATCAGGATTGCAGTCAGGCTGCACTGAGTGTGGGACTCTTGAAAACAGATTGAAGATGCAAATTTAGCATTATGGCTGATGGTGGTGTAAAACCTCTTCTTACCTTCTACACTGTGTTTTTGCTACTAATTTATGTTTGTTGTCGTTTAACACAGATTTCAGAGGAGCACAGAGAAGCACTGTTGCTTCATCTTTTATGCTTTAAAGTAGAACTGGATTGGAAATCAAAAGGTCCTTAAAAGCTTTTTCTGCTCCTGACCCTCAAAGCCAAATTTCACCCCTGAGAGCGCATAGGTTACGATTGTTTTAACAGTAACATTATCAGAAACATAGGTGAGCAACAATACTTAATATCTGCTTTTAATGTAATCATTTATATAGCGATCTTGTATTTGTTAAACATTTTGCAGGATGTATCTGGCAGTTTTTTCATCTACAGAAGTTTCATTTGTCACTGTGGGACTGCTGAGTGACCTGAAGAACTCATTTCATTCATTTACAGAAATGTTTCAGAGAATCTTTGAAAAATGGCAGACCTCAGGTCAGATTTAATTGATAGAGATATATGCATGCATTGTGAAATTTATGTATCCCAGATAATTGTTTTTCATCTTGTCATGGGAGACCCACCCCTTTCTCTGGAGTTAACTGCAGCCCAAGATAACTAGTGGGGGTATTTACACACTCATGGCCAGTGGAGTAAAATGAGCAACCAAAAAACTGGCAGCCTGCACAGCCACAGATGTGCTAGAAGCTAGAAGAGCTAGAAGTGCTACTCATGGAGAAACTCTTGGAGAAACTTGCTAAACCTATCAGGGGACAGGTACTCCAGCCCCAAAACATGATATAACCCCACATAAAGCCCAGCCACAAAGTGAACCAAGTCATGAATGGATGGATAGAAGTTAAATGACTACAAACATAAACATAAAAGGCACTAGTTCCCACACTGGAGTTCCCTGACATTGGGTTGACTATACTGAGCTTGTATTAACAGTTATAACGGACTACGCTGAGACATTGCTTTGAATTATTGTATGTGTATGTATATACATACATACGTACGTACGTACGTACGTACGTACGTACGTACGTATGTATGTATGTATATATACATACGTATGTATATACATACGTACGTATGTATATACATACATACATATGTATATACATACATACGTATGTATATACATACGTACGTACGTACGTACGTATATATATACCTACGTACGTACGTATATATATACCTACGTACGTACGTATATACATACATACGTACGTATGTATATACGTACGTATGTATATACATACGTACGTACGTATATACATACGTACGTACGTATGTATATATATACATACGTACGTATGTATATATATACATACGTATGTATGTATATACATACGTACGTACGTATGTATGTACGTATATACATACATACGTATGTATGTATGTATACGTACGTACGTACAGTACGTACGTACATACGTACGTATATATGTATGTATATATATGCCTCAGATCCACTAGCCCTTAGATCCACTAGCTATGTATGTATGTATGTATGTACAATATTCAAGCAATGTCTTTACCCTGTGCTGTGCAGTGTGTGGACGCTGTGCACGCAATCACCTCATTCACTGTAGTAAACATGCACCGCTATATAACATGATTGACTCTGTCTCCATGGTTACATCATATCCTACATTATTAGCAATGTAAACAGCTTCCAAAGATACTGCCATAGCTCTCTGCAGCTGTAACACTTTCACTGTTTGCAAATCATTTCATATTTTGATAGTTATGAAAAAAGCATATGTTTATAGGTCATGCCAGGCGGTTGCTTTGGTGGTTGCTGTGGACTAGGGTGGACGGTGCGTTCGATTCCTGTTTCAAAGTGGCGACAGTCTGCTGTAACTCGAATTCAAACTCCACTTTGGGTCTTTAAGAAAAGGCCTTTCATAGCTGTTTATGACACACACACACACACACACACAAAGCACTTTGCCTAACCATGACACGATGCAGCTTTACCTTTGAAGTGTCTGATATAAAATAGAAAAAAGAAGCAACCAGAGGTTTAATGATGAAGACTCTGGGGGTCTGTAGTTTACGTTTTACAGTCCTGAATGACTCTTTGCACATTCATATCATTCATTTAGACTGTTACTGTTTAATTTTTTTTTACCTTGTTATGTCATGAATAAGGTTTACCTGCTGAAGGTTTGATTGATCAGTTGGACAATACAGTCAAGGACAGAGTTTCAATTTGCAAGAATCCTAGTTGGATTTTTGTTTTCATTCATATTTCTGAACCAAATATTGAATACGACTCTGACAGACTGGATACCTGCCCACAGTGTAGACTACCTTTTATTCAAGGATCCCAGGACAGAGCCCTGTAGCTCGGATCACAGTTTCAATTATAAAAGAAAAGGAAACAGACAAAAAGCAAAATAGAAAAAAATAACATTGTGAGGTCATTTCTTATAAACTGACAACCCCCCCCCCCATTCCAAAAGAAAAACAAAGAAACAACTTGTCGTTCTCTCACAGCAAAGGATCAGGCTCACAGCTTGGGCCAATAATGTATGTTAGATAAGGTGAGATGAGATGAGATAAGACTTTATTGATCCCACAATGGGGAAATTTTTGTGTCACCTCAGCTCACAGATATCAGAAGGAAATACAAAAATACAAATAAGTACAATCAATGAAAAAAGGTAAGATAATACACTATATACAATGGTAGCATACACAGTATGTGATTATGGATATGGTTGGAAATATGGAAG